TTCCCAAAGCTGCTTCTTATGGACAATAGATGATCAAACAACTTAGTGTTTTTACAGTGCAAAAAAACCTATGAGATACCACTTACCATTGACTCCACAGTGAATTTAACAACAGATCTATTGGAATAGCCCTGTGCATGATAACATGTAGCGGGCAAACAGGGAGCAGGCTGATTCATTAGATCAGATCTATAACCCTTTCAAACTTGATATTTCCCCGATGCCTGAGAAGTACCATCCTTCTTCCCAGTCTCACAATAAGAGACTTGCCTTTATGACAATTTAGCATCAAATGCTGTATATTTTACTTTAGGAAAATGGGATTATCCATCATAATACAGTAGGTGCTAATAACCACAAAAATATAATTAATACTATTTTTTCTTCCCTGGAAATGTAATTAAAGCTTTAACTTTATAAATAAAATCATTTACTCTCAAAACAGTACTCTCTTATCATGACCTTTTCATATAAAAATTTACTTTGTGGTTGCCGCCTAAAACGACCATCAAACTAAATGGTGCTGAAACTCCTAAGTTTACGATGAGTGCTGTGGCAAATTCCAGGTTCTTCTCTTCCTTCTTCTATGTGCTAACTGCTCCAATTAGGGATAATGATCGCCCAGCTGGTGTGGCTCAGTGTTTGAGTGTTGACCTATAAACCAGGAGATCACAGTTCAATTCCCAGTCAGGGCACCTGCCTTGGTTGTGTGTGGGCTACGTCCCCATTGGGGGATGTGCAGGAGGCAGCCAAGCAATGATTCTCTCTCATCATTGATGTCCCTATCTCTCTTACCCTCTGCCTTCTTCTCCGAAGTCAATAAAAATTTATATATTTTAAAAAGGACAATGGTCAACCATTATATAAACAGTCACTAGGTTGATAATGGAATAATCAAGACAGGTAAAATCCACCTTACCTCATGGTTATTGAAAGTTGTTGGAAAACTCTATATCGGCTAAGGATGCATTACTTTCTCCTGTCAGTGTAATTGACTGATGTGTTTCAAACTCCAATCCGTATCAGAACCACCTATAGGGCTGTTAGAAATAGACTCCTGCGCACCTAGAGTTTCTGCTTCAGTAGGTCTGGGATGAATTGATGAATGAATATGCATTTCTAACGAGTTCCCAAGTGATCTGATGTTGATTGTCCATCCAGAGGCCACACTTTGGGAACCACTGCTGTGCTTAAGTATTTATGGATAAAGATATTTAAGGATAAAAACTCTCACGGTGGATGTGACAGTAACTTTCACATTGATTTACAATTCTTCTGCCAAAAGAATTAAAACAACTGGGTGATAATTTAAAATGGTCGCTGAGGTCCTTCTCCTCCACCAACCTCGCCCAGGGATTCCAAAGCTGAAGGAGAGATGAGAAGCAGGGGGCTGAGGGAATGTGGGCATTTGTAGTTGTTAGAGCCTCAGGTCCGCATTTCACTCCTTGCAGACAGGTGGTTACAACTCCAGCAGGAGAAACATTCGAGAGGCTTCTACACCAGGCAGCAACAAAGACGGGAGTAACGTACCTTTTCTCTCAACCTCTTCCAGAATAGTGGCAGCCAGCTGAATGTCCCTTTCGGAAAGAGATACAGATATTTCTTCTGAGAAATTGAAGAGCCTGAAAGATCAAACCTCTCATTTCTGACATTTGGGGGCTCGTCTATGGAAGGACCAGCTCTCACCTGATCACCGGACGTCCAACCCACCGATGTGCAGGTCCACTTCTTCTTACCCCTTACACATAGTCTCTGGTGGGTTTTATGACCTTCTTCTTCAGTATGAATAGTCAAAGGTTTGCAGGCTTGGGGGCAGGGAGACGAGAGGGGGGGGGGGGAGAGGAATGGGGAGAAACCAGAAGCAGAAAGAAGGCAGGAAGCAGAAAACCCTATAGGAACTGTTTTCAAAAGAAAGAAGAAATTATTCCAACTGTGACATGTTCATAGAATTCTATTTTTATAATAACATAAAACACCTGGCTGGTGTGGCTCAGTTGTTCTGTGCACCGAAAGGTTGTTGGTTCGATTCCGGGTCAGGGCACATGCCTAGTTTGCAGGCTCCATCCCCAGTGGGGGATGTGCAGGAGGCAGCTGATTGACGTTTCTCTCTCACATTGTTTTCCCCCACCTCTCCTTTCTCTCCCCCCTTTCTTTCTAAAAGTCAATAAAAATATTAAAGAATAACATAAAACATGAAAAGAGTTCTTAGAATAACTGAGATAAAATCATCAATAGAAAGTAAAGTAAGGAACTATTCCCCCAAATAGAAAAGATTAAGAGATTTTCAAAGGAAAGGAAAAAATTCTAAGATTAATCTAGAGGATTCAATAATCCAATTAAGAGTTTCAAAAAAGAAATGAGTGGACAAAAATCGAGGACTTACTATGTGTTTAGGCATTATTCTAAGTGGTTGATATATATGTATATATATATCAGTGAGGAAATTACTATTATTACTTCCATTTTAATATATATATATATATATATATTATTGTTATAAGTGAGGAAACTGAAGCATAGCAAGAATAAGTGACTTGCTGAAGGACATGTAGTAGAGGCATGATTTGAACTTAGGCAAATCTTTGCCATTGACCCAGCACATAATTATGAAATTTCAAAATGTAAGAGGTAAAGGGATTCTTCTAAAGGTTTCCAAAAAGAAAAATTGCAGTTCACAAAAGAATGGAATAAAGGTGACATTGAAATTCTCAACATTGGATGCTAGAAAATAAAAAAGCAATTTCTACAAACCTATGAATGAAAAATTTAGAATCCTCATCTCCATTGGACAGGAGGACAGAAGACTTGGAGGAATGTTGCCATGGGAAAAACAAAGTTGACCGTTTGATCATTTGGGAAATAAAATTGATAGTTATTTGATCAACATGTTGTAGAAAAAAATACCAGGTGGGTGCATAACAAAGTAAATATATAAAAGATTTTATAATAAGAAGGGAACCAACCATAGTTCACCAGTTGGCTCTGCTGACTGGTATACACAGTCACCAACTACTTACTACCTCTACACTGTTGGAAGAATGACAGAAGGGGAAGGCGGGTGGGTGTGTAAGAGCTGAATCTTTATCTGAGGCAACAGGTAGTCAACGTGTGCCATCTAAACAGAGAAATCAAGAGATAACAGTAAAATTTATTTATAATTCTGGAAGTAAATGACAAAAGAGACAGCTAAAAGTGGAGTGTGGATGCCTCTCAGAAGGTGATTAAGAAGGAAGAGAAGAAGTGGGTAATATATAATCTTAAAATATTATATTATCTTTAAAAACTGTGAGTATTTCTACTGTCTTTAAAAAGTAAGGACAAACTTTTGAAATTCATTTGCTACTCAGTGAAAACATGGAACAACCAAATATTGTTTCATCATGTAATTTTTAGAAAACATCTGATCCACAAAGATTAAAAGTTGCATGAACTCTCGCAATGTAACCTGGATAAAATATGGTAAGCTTTTCACATCCCCCTTCCAGTTCCACAATCCATAAGTATGGGCTAGATCCCTAAAAAAACAAACAAACAAAAAAACTTGCACAAATACACTTGGGGAGCAGTGATTATACATTAATTGCACCTTTGCTAGTTCGAGTTGTTTCCAGCCAGGTGAAGCAGAACCACACACACACACACTCAAAAAAAAGTCAGCTTCATCCTGAATTGTTTCCGTAGCAACCATATTACACTGGAAGGATAAAGCACCTTTGTAGTCACGGCTTCTATTGAATTACAATGTCAATGTTGACGTCTGCCTGGATACGTCAAAAAGACAACAGGTTTATTATGGGACAGGTTCGTGGTTGTTTGCAGCTCTGGAATCCCAAACTGCAGAGTTGAGATGAAAAACGGTGCGCCGGGGGGGCGAGCAATGTATAGTCTGTTCAGCGAAACCTCCTCACCCCACCAGTATCACCTGCCCAGCTCTTGAAAGGATGCTCCCCTCTTAGCACAGCTGCAATCTCCTGGGCACAGGTGACGCATCGGGGCGCGGAAGGTGTTGGCTGTGGGCAGGTTCACAAAGCCATGACTTAGCACACCCGGCGATCGATCGTTGTGCAGTTTGCCTCCTCCTCAGCGCACAAAGTAAACTTGCAACTCTTCGGAAACTGTCACACGGTCCTCCTTGTGGGCATGAAAAGCCCCGTGGCTGTGCGCTGCGCCTTGGATTCCGGTTGGCTTGAGATTCCCTGAGTCCAGCTCTCCTAAGTCCTTCCGTTCGACCCATAATCCCTAGTGGTGGTTGCAGGTGTTGTTGCCTTTTTTTTTTTTTTTTTTTTTTTTTTTTCCTGGTTCCTTCTCTCATCTGCAAGCCTCCCTCTCCACCTCCACCCCCATCCCCACCTCCACCTCCCATCCCCACCCCGGCCCCCACCCCCGCCCCCGCCACACCCCGGGCCGGCCGGCGGGGAAGAAGGACGACGTGTGGCAGCGTGAAGTCAACTCGAGGCCCCGACCCCGGGCTCCCACTCGGGGCCGCTTCGGAGGAGCGCGTTACCTGCGCCGGGCGCAGGGCCTTCCTTACCTGGGCGCGCCTCTGCCAATGGCAGCGCACCTGAGCGCGCCCGCAGCCAATCAGCGCGCGGCTCGGCCCTCGGGCCCGTACCCTTTAGTGAAAGAATTCGGCTCCTGGCGAGAAAGTTACCTGGGGCCCCGACCCAGTCCGCGCCGCGTTCCGCTCGGGGGACGGCCCACTTTGCCGCGATCCGGGAGGACCCCGCGCCGCCCGCCCGCCCGCCCGCCTCCGAGCGCGGGGCCCATGTGAGGGGCCCCTCCTCTGTCCCACCTTTCCGGCTAGGTGAGGGCGCGGGCGAGCCGAGCCGGAGAGAGAGTGGCGCGGGGGGAACGGGAAAAGCAGAATTACCTGTAGCTCTTGTTCTGCCATCTCGGGCGGGCGCGCTCTCACACACCTTCACCTGCACAGACTTGAAAGTCCAGTTTCACCGGGAGGCTGAGGCTCCGGGAAAAAGGGGAGCGAGTTCATTGGATCAAACATGTCACAAGAGTCGGACAAGTAAGTGGATCACACGCGCCGGCTGCTGCTACTGCTACTACCACTTTGGGCTGATGGCAACTGGTTTGTTATGGTTTTTTGCTTTTTTTTTTTTTTTTTTAAGTTGCTATTGTTGGTAAAAAAATTTTTTTTTTTCTTTTTCTTTTTTGGTGTGTCCAGACCCCCTTTTTTTTTTTTTCCTCTTCCCCAGATTAAGTTTCTACCTACCCTGGTTCAAGGGGGGAGAAACCCTACAAGAATGTGAATGTTGAATACCCGCCCCCCCTTTTGGGCCTTGATGGTTTTTTCTTCTTTCCTTCCTCCCTTTACGAAAGACCTGAACCCCCCAACCCCCCTCCCGTCTCCCCCGACGAGTGCTTGGCTAGTGACAGAGGTTGGGGTGGCCCAGGGCGGGAGGCCTGTTGTTCCCCTCTCTTCTTCGGGGGGCCCCCACCTCCTCCAGGCTTCCAGGGCCATTGGGAGGTGCAGCCGGGGCTCCTGCCGAGGTGCCCAGAGGGCCTGCTGGAACGGCGAACCGGTCTCTCGGCGGCTTTTGTGTGAGCGCAACACAAAGAGCCTTTATCCCGGGGCAGAAACGGCCATCTTCCCCTTCCCGCACCGGCCCGGGCGCTGCGTGTGCGCCCCCGACGGGAGGCACCCGGGGTCCGGGGGGCCGCCTGGGGCCCCTGCGCACAGCCCCGCTCCCAGCCCCACGGGCGCCGCCGCTTTGTTTGGCGAATTCTGGACGGAGCGCGAGGCCAGGGCCTTTGGGGAAAGAGAGGAACTGATTTCAGGCATCTGGGGGTTGGGGGGGGGGGGACGACCCCCAAGGGTCGCCTGCAACTCGTCGATCCTCCCCATCCCTCCCCCCAACCCGCTCGTTCCCATGTCCGGACGCCTTTGGGGCGCCCCTGCGGCCCGGGCTCTCCACGCCGGAGGCCGCCACCTCGGGCGTGGCTAGCGGGATGCGTGGGCCGCGCCGGGCCTTCTCGGGGACCCGCCGACGGAGATTTGGGGGCCCGAGCGGCGGGGCCTCGGGGTCCCCGCGCCTGGAAGGGCGAGCCGAGACCCCCGCGCGTCCTTGCACGTCCGGGGACGGGAGCTCCAGCCTCGCCGGCGATCGGCGGCCTGCGCGGCCCGGAGGCGCGGGTGGCCGGTCCGGCCGCGTCCAGGCGGCCTCCCTCCCGAGCAGGCCGGGCCGCTGCCTCCGGGGCGGCTTTGTGCGGGGAGGGGGGTGGGGCCGGGGGCGGGCGCGGGAGGGAGCCGGAGGTGGGTCCCGCGCGGCCTTTCTCGGGATTCGGTGGCGACACTCCCTGCCCCCCGCCTCTGGGGCCCGTCCAAGGGCCGGGCACGGGCTGCGGCTGAGGGCAAGTGCGCAGTGGCCACCTTGTTGCTTCCCGTGGTGGCTCTAGCCTGGTGGCCCGGCTGCCCCACGGGCACCTGGCGAAGGGGGTCTCCTCCAGGGCCAGGGCAGGCCGCGGCCCGCCTCTCCTTGGGGGGCCATTCCCAAATCGAGGGACTCTGGGCAGAGGGCATGCCCTGCGGTGTAGAGGGAGGGGGAGAACGTTTCCGAGGAAAGCCATTATTGGTAGAGTAGGCATATCTAACCACACAGGCTGCCATACTTTAAACAGTGTGCCAGGTATGTGTACCGCTTACCTACCCAGGCAAAGTGAAGTGCGTGCTACCCGGAGGGGTGGGGGAAGGAAGGGCTATGGCTGCAGGAATGCCCTTCCCTTCACCCCAAATTGTCGCTGTGGCTTTTAAGAAATCACCACTCGATTTTGAAAAAACAAAAAAACCAAAACATAACGTCAGCAGCCAAAAGCCGAGATGACAGCAGGTTTTTTTGTTTGTTTGTTTGTTTTGTTTTTTTTTGGTTTGGTTTGATCTTCGTGTCAAAAATGGTTCCTAATCTAAGGGAATATCGGATGAGACTTACTGCAATGCCTCGATTAAATCGCACAATTAACTTCTGGTTGCACTGCTTGGGTTGGCGATATACAATACCCAACTGCAACGAATTAGGAATGAAAACGGGTGGGATTTATTTTCACCTGTTACCACTTAGCACCAAGGACCCTTGAGTTCGTATTGAAATTGAGTTCTAAATACTAGCAGTCTGGTTTCGCTACCATGCATTACTTGATTTTTGTATGAGTATAACTACCTAGGATTACAGATGTACACATTTAATGAAAATCTATCTATTTATCTTTTATCTGTCTTGGTTTCCAAGAGTTAACTTTGCATCCTGGGTGGGAAAAGCAGTCACAGCTGGATTCTGCAAAGAGGAGCACCTGTAGACCCCACTCTGCTTGGACGATAGAGAGGTGCTGCAAATTAGTAAATGAATTTTGGATCATTTTTGCAAATGATAGCCCAGTTTCCTTAATATTAATAATCTAAGGAGGACTGGCAGGCACGGGTGCAGGTTTTATGTACCTGAAGCTTACGCCATTGGGGATGTCAGGTGGGATGGGGGTGTGGGCTCTCAGGAAAAGAATCCCTGAGCAGTTGCTGGGGTTACCTGCCTGGCAAGGGAGGGTCCCAAGCTTGGCTTTGTCAGCTTCTGCCTAGCAGGCCTGCCTGTCTTTTCTGAAAGTAACCTAAAGGAGTGCACCCCGGATCTTTTCCCAGAAACTTAACAGCGTATAGGTAACTTTTTGGATCGCATGGGAAGGTAATTTCAGTTAACACGTCTAGACTGAAGTAGTTGCATTTTTTTTTTTTTTTTTGCAATTGTGGGCTTTTTATATGGAAAAATGTCCTGCAATGATGCTGTCACTAATTAAAGCAAAGTGGTTTTTTGTTTGTTTGTTTGTTTTTTAGCACAGTTTGTCTTGGGACATATTTCAAAATTCTCTGTTCCCCTTTCTTAAATTTTATGAAGATTTATCACTTTTGTCAACAAGCAAGTGTGTTCTAGCAAGGCAATGATAGTTTAGAAACTTATTTTACTACCATATATAAAATACATATTCAGAGAGAGTATATGTGTGTATATGTAATATTATTTGATACTTACAGGTCTTTTTCATTACATAAATGTGTTTTCTGATTACCTATTATTTGCAACACATTTAGATAGAAACTAGAGGAGAATAAAAAGATGTATAAATTGGGCCATGCCCACAAGAGGCTTATACTCTAGTTGAAGAGTGAGACATGGACAAACACAATTAAATTAAAAAAAAATTTTAAATTACAGTTAACATACAATATTATTTGAGTTCTAGGTGTACAACATAGTGATCAGATATATATGTAACTTACAAAGTGACCACCCCAGCAAGTCTAGTACCCACCTGATACCATACATACTTACCACAATATTACTGATTACATTCTCCGTGCTGTGCTTTATATCCCCTTGACTGTTTTTATAACTGACAATTTACACATCTTAATCCCTTACCCTTTTCACCCTTCCCCCAAACTCCCTCCCATCTGTCTGTTCTCTGTATGAGTCTGTTTCTGTTTTGTTTGTTTATTTTGTTTTGTGAAATCATTTGGTGGTTGTCTTTCTCTGTCTGACTGACTTTATTTAGTATAATACCTCTCAAGGTCCATCCATGTTGTTTTACATGGCAAGATTTCATTCTTTTTTTATGGCTGAGTAATATTTCATTGCAAAAACCATGGAAAGTGTGTATGCCTTTTCAAATTAGTGTTTTGGATTTCTTCGGATAAGTGCCCGGAAGTGGAATTGCAGGGTCATATGATAGTTCTATTTTTAATTTTTTTTTTTTTTTTTTTTTTTTAAGGAACCTCCATATACTTTCCTATAGTGGATGCACCAATTTACAATCCCACCAACAGTGCAGGAATTTCCTTTTCTCCACATCCTTACCAACACTTGTTGTTTGTTGATTTATTAATGATAGCTATCCTGACAGGTGTGAGGTGGTGTCTCATTGCAATTTTAATTTGCATTTTCCCAATGATTAGTGACGTTGAACTGAACAGACATAATTTAAAATAAGGCAATACCTGGTAAAGTTACTAAAAGAAAGTACAGGTCATGGTATATCAATCCCCCTTCTTTCTCTTTACCCATCCCACTTTTGCCAAGGACAATTACTTTGAGTCATTCTGTGTGCTTTTTCTTAATGACTCTGTCCATTATTCTAGGAACGAAACAGAAAACGCCTAACATAGGCATCTCATGTGAAGAACCTTTTAAGTAATGGGGCGAAACTCTTAAACTTTTACTCTTTAGTTGAATAAATGTACATGCTTGTTTCCACTTGGCTATATAAAATACCCTTTAAGATCACAAATATTAAGAATTAGTCAGATCTTTCTTAAGCCACTAAAAATACACACTCTTTTATTCAACCAATATGTCTTACGTGGTACTATAATACCAGGCTTTGATCCTAACATTGAGATTCATTATGGAATAGAACAAAGTTCCTACCCTGGTGCTGCTTGCATTCTAGTTCGGGAAAACAGTGAGTCAATCAAGAAGTAAATAACAACTTAGATGGCGATCAGTGCTATGAGGGAAAGCAAAGCAGCTTGGAGGAATTGATTATAATAGGGATCTATTTTATATAAAGCGGTCAGGGATGGCGTCTCTGATGAGATGACCTTTGAGCAGAGACCTGAAGGAATTGAGGATAAAGCACTGGAGATACCTGGGAAACGAGTGTTTTGTAGAGGCAGATGGGAGAGCAAGTGCACAGACTCTGAGCTGGGGGAGTGCCTAGCAAGTTCAAGGTCGGATAGGGGCCCAGTGTGGGTGAAGCAGAGAGTTAGAGAGATGTTAAGTAAACAATTCTCTGCTTACTAGTTGAGAGAGAGAAAGAGAGAGAGAGAGAGAGAGAGAGAGAGAGAGAGAGAGAGAGAGAGAGAGAGAGAGAGAGAGAGAGGAAGAAACTATATTTATAAGTGGTCCTGGCAGTCAAGAAGTAAATAATCAGCCAATAACATCAGTCTTGTGTTTCCCAGTTTCCTCAGTTGAATGGTTAGGGTCTCGTGCTCTCTTCCTTACAGCAGATGACATTCTGCACACT